AGGTATCCCATGAGATTTGAGATGGCAGCTTGCAGAGTTCCCACTGGCAGCCTAGCTAGGTACTGGCATCGCAACTACGATCTCATCTGCAGTTACAATCTCTGCACTTTGGTTTTCAGTTGTGCTCAGTGATTCAAGTGTGTGACCTTGGTATTGTGAAAGGCACTATATAAATATAACCTATTATTATTGTTATTATTATTATTATTACTAATAGTAGTAGTAGTAATAATAATAATAATAATAATAATAATAATATTACTATTATTATCTCATCTTAATTCGTCAACAGCTTAAAAATTTTCCCCATTGACATTAGTGGTCATTACAAGTTATGAGATGTGACAATTATGAGTCAATTTCCAGGAACAAATGAGGCTCATAAGTAGGAGATACCTGCCCTGTTATCTCCTAGTAACTTACCAGAGGTGGACTGGTACAGAAAGTAAAAATCCAGACCAAGATTGTGCTTCAACCCACCAATTGAGTATAAAGAGCATACAGTCAGTAATCTAATGGTGGGTTGAAACACAATCTTGGTCTGGATTTTTACTTTTTGGACCTGAACTACCCACCTCCGCAACCTAAATAAGTAATATAGTGGCATAAGAAGACCTGCGCCCCCTGCTGGTTACCTGCTAACATGACAAAAAGCTCATACTCACCTAGAGAACAGGAAACTCACTTGGGTTTAGCTCCTCGTCGTCGTAGCTGGATACGGCAGCCTGATTGCAGCAGCAGTTAATGCATCATAAGCTGCTGTGTTTCCCACAGAAAGCAGTACGGGTCACGACCATCATGAAGAGGCTGCGTGCCCCGGAGCAGAGCGACTCCGCTGGAGCCAGTCCAGCTGCTGCAGCCACCGGGCCTGCTGTGTCTGGCCCAGCGAACCCCCTTCCCACAGCGGAGCCCTCTGGTGACAAGGGAGCCCCCTTGACTCAAGCAGAGGGTTCGGGGGCTGTGGGCGGGGTCAGCGCTGAGCCCTCTGCCGCACCTCAGTCGGCGGACCCCTCGCTGCGGTGTAATGGCGAAACCCCTGCCGCCCCCCCATCGACAGCTGTGACCAGCGATGAGCAAAATGGTTAAATGTCAGTCTGACGCAATGGGAACCCCCCCCCCCCCCCCCCGCCACAAGCCATCCTGTATATTGTATATTAGCTGCTGGCATGGTGACCCTAAGTCTGCTACTTACCTTCACAACATTAGCATCTGGTAGATTTTGTGGCCCATCTCTCCTGAGCAGCCAATCAGCCTGGGTTCTGTCTTTCACAGGAAGTCAATCATCCCATATTCTGTCTTTCCTAAGCAAGTGATTGATTTGTGTTATGTCTTTCCTGAGAGGTCAGTTGGCTTGCATTCCATCTGTAATCAATTGATTAACCAGCATTCCTTTCCTCTTAAAGCGACTGATCATCCTGCGGTCCTGTGTCCTGCCTCTCCTTAGAGACTGATCGACTTGTGCTGTGTCTTTCCTGGGAGTTGGTTGTTCGATGTGTTCAGAGTGTCCTGCATTCCCTCTCGCCTGAAACATTGATTGGCCTGCATTTTCACTCCCTCTAGCTCAGGACTCTTCAAATCCGGCCCTCGATTCCAGATCCAGGCCTTGTTTTCAGTTCTCCCAGGCAGGTAGTTTAATAAATACTGATTCTGATTGGGCACAGAGGTTTCATACCTGGCTCATAGATAAAGGAAGGCTGGAAAATCATCAGTGCTCGGCCCATGAGGACCGTGATTTGAATAGCCCTGTTCTAGTTTCATAAACATCATTTTTGCGAGCAGCTGTAAGTATCATCTCATGGATTCTCTCTTGATAGTATCCCTAATAACTAAAGCATGACAAGAAGTAAGCATTCTGGCAGATTTCAGTATTTAATTCTTTTTTTTTGCAATGTATGTCCTTTGTTTCGACATTCTGTGTAATGGCATCAGGCTTGGTGACAGTGATTTGGTAGCTGACCCCTCTTCACCTTCATCCCTGCTCAGGAACTCACTGTTTGGCTCACAAGTGTATATGATCTGTAAATAGAACTCTGTGCAATTAGCCATACATTAAAATTGTTCTGCTGATTTTTATCATGACTGGAGGATACAGAGACCATATTTATACACATGCTGATGTGCAACTTATAACTTGGACCTTTTCACTTTCTGTACGTCCTATTTATCCATGTATTTTACAAAGTTCTTTCCCTGATGAGAGTCCCAGCTCAGCAGTATTGTAATCACTGCAGTTCTACTCAGCTATACTTTTATTTTTCTTTACGTAATCACAGCATTTTGCAAGTGAGCAGGACATTTTTAGTAATGAAATGCCCCCTTCGTTTATGCTAGATGTATTTTGAGTTTTAGAAAATGCTAATTTCCACAATGATTCTCATTTGGATGATTGCATTAAAAGGCATGCAAATTGCTAACTAGAAAAAAAAACGTATGTATTTCTAGCTCTGAAAAATAAATGGCGAATAATTAAAATTTAAAGAGTAATGTAATACTCAATGACATACTGTTGGAATAACAGTAGATGTACATATCAGTGACTAAATTTCTGCCAAGGTAAGCTGGGCTCAGTGCATTTTTTATTTGCACTCTCATCTTACTCTGAAACTATCACATTCTTGTTTTTAAAGCCATCCTTTGTGTTGCTGTTTTCTATGTGTAGCTTATATTAAATCAAAAAGATTTGTTTGCATTGTTTCACACAGGGAAATGACCCTGTGATTATCAGTAATAAAAGCCATTATTTTTCTCCTGTCAATACTTTTATCTTGAATAAGATTAATGCATCAGTGTTCGATAACCATCAACTCCGCTGAACCATGAATTCAGCTGCGCTGATAACATACAAATTTTATGTACATTTTATCGTCATTTTTTGTCTGTTACAGTTCTGATCATTAATTTGAGTGCTATAATTATAGATACATGAATCTACACTACATTGTATACCTACATTGTCAGTATTTTTCATTCCTTTCTTTTTAGTGAATTGATGAAATCTTCAGTACACTGTAAACATGATACAAACAGCAATATTCGGGTTGCTTTTAAAACTGTGACCCTGCTTTCTGTGTGCTTTTATGAGACATTTTGTAAGGATTGACCATCTGCTACATTTTCTGTGTAGAATATTATCCTATTCAGGCCTTGTTACACATCTGACCTCTGCTCCCACCTGCATCTTGTATTTTCCCAAAATGCATTTCACCAGCAATCCACCTGTAATCAAGAAGCTGTAACTTTAAAATTAGTGTGTCTGCTGATCAGACGCACACGCTGTGCTATGCTCTCAGTACAAGTGTTTAATTGATTACTTCTCCATGCTTCTGTCCTATTTTGTTCGGTTTTGTTTGATTAATTTTGTTCTATAATCCGCTTATCTGCTTGTGGTTACAGGCTGATACATCAGAGGATTTTTTTTTACTGTAGGAACAAGTAATTCATCCTGCTGGTAGTCAGTGACTTTTTAATCAAAGATGTTCAAACATGTCCGTTCTGGTGCACTTCTGTGTTTCTGATGTATGTTACTATCAATGGAGCTGATTACAAATGTACAGAATATTGAGCTACTTCATTAAGTTCGGGTAATGCTAATATTTTATTCGGAACAAACCTTAATAGAGTTTGTTTGAGAAGCTAATCGTTGCTAGAAGAAGGCTCAACATGAACTTCAGCTTCACCACGGTATTCAGTATTAACGGTCTGTTTATTTTGTCCAGCATTCTCCATCATATCCCTGAATTTTACTCTCACAGGGATGTGAAGGATGCACACATCCTGCCTCATGTTTGTAGCCTCTGTATTCTTTCATTGACTTTATGAATTTAATGGTAATAAAAGTTTCTTCATGGAACGTCAAAGTTCTCCCATTCTCTCCTTAGTCAATCTCGACATATTAACGTAATGATGTCTTTTCCCAGGAGACAGCATCAAGACTTTGGTCCAAGATTTAAACCCATCGGTGCCACTATTCAGTGACTGAGACCCTTTAAACCTGTGCATTATGGGTAACTAACATTACAACTGCAGTAATTATGAAAGATGAAAGATGTGTTTAGTACCAGCTATCAAGTTATTTAGGCAGTTTTCTGTGTCTTATCTCATTACCTTCACAAAGTGGAACTAGGTATGGGTCCTCCGGTCTTTTTGCCGATTTATTGAGTTTATCATATCAAAGCTTGCTTTAGTACAGAGAGGTGCTGAACACTGTGAACGTTTTAATCTCACCCTAGCAGGCAAATGAAACGGTCATGCACAGAATGCTAAAATGATAGTTGGCTGCAATATATTTCCTGACCTTTGTTTTCAGTCTGTAAATCGCTTAAATGAATTTATGCGCTAATTGCTTAGCCAGTTGGAGAGAAAAGATGGAAGAAGAAAAAATACATTATTACTGATACATACTTTGGTCTAAGTTGGCTTCCTTTAAAAGTCATAAAATAGGTCACATTTATAGCAAACACATAATCATATTCCCTGTGGGTGTCAGACAAACGGAATATTACTCTAACATGAGCTTCAGTTACAGATTCTGGGCTCTGTAGCTGTTAGTTGAGAGGTATGCAGTTAAAGATGGTACTGAATCCAAACCCATTCATCACAGTAACAACCTTGTTTCGCACCATCTCCATGGTCAGGGAGATGATTTTGGTAAAGTATATCACTTATAAGTAGTTTTTTTTATTTTATTTTGTGGTGTTTGGGGAAGACTTACAGTGCTTTGCAGTTGTTTTGCAGCCCTAAGCCAAGAGCATTTGATGTATTATGTATATCAAAAGAGAAAAGTAACAATAAACAGCAGCCAGGACAGCTATATATTTTCTTTTGCATAATAGAAGAGACAGATCTCTGAACTCTACTGTATGGTACATATCATTATTAGTTCAATCCAAATACAGCACAGAGAAAAGAGCATTCAAGAGATTGCACAGTTTTAGTCATTCAGCAGATGGTATTATGTAAAGTGACATGGGAGAACAGTAAACCCACAAACCCAGCCCAGGGATTTGAACCAACAACCTCCTGAGCACAAGTACAGTCCTGTAACCCACTGAGTCACACACATTATGCAAGAAGCAAGGGGGAAAAAAACATATACTAACATATACATAAGATTGTATCACAGCTCAGAATGTCACTTTTCTGTTGGACATCTCGATGGAAATCATCTGATGCAATTCTGGTCAAACCTGTGTTTAGCAGCCTGCATGTCTTGGTTGCAAAACATGCAACTGGGTGAATGAGGGTCTCTGAACCGATCCTTGTGTGTAGGCTGTGATGGACTGGCATCCTGTAGAGCAAGGGTGGGCAATCTTATCCGCAAATGCTGGTGTGTATGCAGGTTTACGCTGCAGCTCCATAATTATGGTGCGTTCGTTTTTCTCTCGGAACTCGGAAATTCCGAGTTTAGTAACATCACGTCCGACAATCTCCCGTTCGAGCTACCCAAGTCGCCATGTTGAAATTACGTCACAGGGGCAACTCGGACAACAAAATCTTGTCCGACTTCAACGTCATAAAAGGGGAGTGTTTACGACGGGAAGTGAAGTTTCGTGACGTTTTCATCCGAGTTCCGACTTGGAGAGAAATAATCGAACGCACCATTACATTACTAATTAGAGGATTAATTGATTAGATTGTCTGAAGAGTCCTCACACCTGGGTTTTAACAGCTTACCTAAAGGTTATCCTAGAATCCTGCATACCCACCGGCCTTTCGTGGATAAGATTGCCCACCCCTGCTGTAGATTGTATACCCTCTCTGGTGCCCTATGCTCCCTGTGAGAGGTTTCAGGCTCACTGTGCTCCTGTACTGCAGTATTTCCCAATCCGGGGATCCAACACTGGTCTACATTTTTGCTCCCTCCAAGATCCCTGCCAGACAGTCCACATTTTTACTAAAAAGCTGTCAGTGGGTCCCCGAGGACCGGATTGGGAAACATTGCTGAAGTGAATAAGCAGTATGGCAGTTGCGGGGCATTCATAATTTTAAAAGCCAGCTGTCAGATGATACTGAAAGCGTTTAGTCAGTCCAGCACTGCTGTTATACCACTGTTTGGGCCATTATTGGGTGACGCCTCCACCATCTCAACCGAAAGCCAACTGGGAAGATGACTTTGTTTCCCAAGGCAGAATTACATGGAAAAGCATAAACACGTCACCAAAAATATTTAATGATAAAAACGGCTTTTGACCAATACTGGATGTTTTTATAGCCTTCTTAAATACAGAGCTGTGGATTGAAGGGGGAGGGGTGGTCACTGAACAGTTACCTTGGTAACGGGTTCCTAAAGGCAAGAAATGGGTTTTAAAACTGCGCAGGCCAGACGTCACTTTCAATGGCTCAGGGCAGCGTTTGATACAGTGCATGAGCGAGGTAACTGCTTGTCACTCCTGCAGTGTACATAACAGCGAGTTCCAAACACGTGTCACGTTTAATCGCTTAAAACTCCGTACATAAAGTGTTAAAGAAAAAATAAGCTAGTGGTTAAGTGAATGCATGTGGCAGCCTTACAACTGCACGGCTCGTCTGGCCGCCCAGGATCGGGAGGATCTCCGGAGCCGAGGTGCACGCTCTCCCGCCTGCGCTTCAATAAAATCGCTGGTTATCTAGTTAACCTTATCTAACCTGCTTAGCTGCGCCAGAGAAAGATCGACGGGCTTGTATAACAAAAAGCTCAGGCTTGCACTGATTTTACTTCTGCCTTTGCTTGAAAGTTGTAAAAGATAATTAACCTAAATTATAAATAATCATGAATAATAGATAAAATCGATTCATATTAATTTTTTGTAATGATTCATTATTAATATTAAATTTATGGCAGAGAGTATGCCTTTTGTCGGTTTTAATGGACTATTTTAATCTTGTAACACTTGTACATGACTTTTTTCAGTTACAACTTCATATTTGGTGAACGTCTGAAAAATGTTTCGTGTTTACAGGAAACTATTCATACCTATTTTCTTACTGGGTGGATAAATTGGAACTAATTTAATATTTTTTGTTATTTCTAATTCCGTTTGATGATTTGTCTATGAACTTTAATTATTACTGTTTAATCTGCTTCATTTGTGCGCCACTTTGGAAAAAACCGCCCGTTAAATAAATAAATATGAGCGTAAATTGTGCCGAAGGTCTTAAGTATTTATTGAGAGCGGAGAATACATTGACCATTTTAGTGTCTTTTAGAGCACTGGTTCTTGACCAGGGGTGGCCACCAGGGGGCGTCAGCGAGTACCAAGGGTTGGCGGGGCGCAGTTTTATTGAAAAGCGTAGAAAAAAATTATGACACTTCTAAAGCTGCGGGGGCTGACCGTGTAGGGGCGGAATTTGTAGCAGACGTCGTGTCTACTTCTTTTTTGCATAGGTCTGAATTAGCCCAAGACATTGTCAAACAGACATAATTATACATAATAATACATGCCAATAACATTAGCTAAATCAGTTCATTTTTCTCTGGAGAGCTCAATGGCATGAACCTGCTTTGGTTAACGGTGATAATACACTACACATCTCTTTTTAGCCGCAGCATTCTGTAGACATGTTGATAACTATATAGGCTAACCCAGCTGATCGAGCTGTAGCTAGCTTATTCATTAGCTACTTAACCTAAGCTATTTTCTTCTGTTCAATACAGTTTTATTGCATAAAGTCTACCGGTGAAAGCCTATTACATTTATTTTTATGTTTGTTCTCATTTAATTTACTGATTGAGAGTGCAATTGATGTTAAACTTCCCTACTTCATTTCATGTAGATTTATCGTATGCAGTAGGTGTGACTTGCAGCGTGACATTACTATCAAGCGGGCATGTCTTGTGGTAGGCTTACTTATACTGGGCATATCTTATAGTGATGAGAAAAAATACCCTTTTTTGGAACACAGTTCTTTTCATTCAGTTCACCTAAACGATTTGTTCTGATTCATTCACCAACTTGTTCAGTGGCACTTCCAGTTTGCATAAAATAGATATGAAACACTTGTTTCATATCTGTGTTTTCACAGGGAAGCCGATGGAGGGAAAAGGGGAGAAGCTTTTGTTACTTAGTTCATTGTGTTTTAAAATATTGTTGAAAACACCATAATTTGGAATATTTGTTTTATTTTGTTAAAGGTTAAAACAAAGGTCTTTTCAGTTTTTAAGCGCATGATTGTCAGGCGTTTTCACCTGTTTTCTTGACCCAGTAACAACCGTGGGATTATCATATCGTTATCATATGAATAGCGCTATTTGCAAATAGGTGGGCGATCAGGACTGCTTCGACACTCGGACACTGGAGTCAGTCACTCTTGTTCTTTTTATTCTCCGTATAAAGTTCTAAAAATATATTTAGTTTATACCTATACACACTGCTCAAAAAAATTAATTTCAACACTTTGAAAGCACATCAGATCTCAATGGGAAAAATTATACTGGATCTATACTGATATGGACTGGGTAATGTGTTAGGAATTAAAGGATGCCACATTGTTTGATGGATATGAAAATGATCAACATACAGAGGGCTGAATTCAAAGACACCCTGAAAATCAAAGTGAAAAAATGATGCGGCAGGCTAGTCCATTTTGCCAAAATTTGATTGCAGCAACTCAAAATCGTACTCAGTACTTTGCATGGCCCCTGCATGCTTGTATGTATACCTGACAACGTTGGGGCATGCTCCTAATGAGACGACGGATGGTGTCCTGGGGGATCTCCTCCCAGATCTGGACCAGGGCATCACTGAGCTCCTGGACAGTCTGAGGTGCAACCTGGTGGCATTGGATGGACTGAAACATAATGTCCCAGAGGTGTTCTATTGCATTTAGGTCAGTCGAGTGTGGGGGCCAGTCAATGGTATCCATTCCTTCACCCTTCAGG